GTGTGTGTGTGTGTGTGTGTTTGTGTGTGTGTGTGTGTATTGCGAGGTTCCGAATGTGTTGATACGACCTCACAGATGGATATACGCTTTGTGTTCAGTCGAATAAGATACACTATACGACTGTATCTGCCTCACTAAAGTATATGAGCGCGGCAATTTACCGTTCATCATACTTCAACCCAACAAGAAAAGTCTTAGACCAGATCCAATGTGATTGGAAGCGAACGATTGGATGGCAGAGAATAAGAGCGGGAACCCATCTTGTACCGGTATTCATTTAGCTGCAAATCGGTAATATTTAGGGTTTATAATATGTACCGTTCCTTAGGATTTTTATATTTTTGGTCTTCTGGAGTTCCAATCTGTTAGTGACTCATCGATCTGTGCAAGACTGATGCCATTGGCGAAGATGTAAGAAATAGGTCCGTAGCGGGCTTTTATTGAACGCCGTTTTGTACCAACCCAAAACCGAAAACCTGAAGCCAAATTTGTCCCTTCCTGCATTCTTTATCGGAACCCATATAGCTAAAAATGGGTGCTCAACATATAATCTCAACTAAAAGCAGGACAACTCTCGTAGGGGTGATGTATAATTTTTGTTTATTTTATTTATATACGGTGGTTGTGTAATATACGATTCTGAGAGTCTTGCACAGTCTGAGTCGGGTGTAAGTATTCACCTACGCACACTCGTACGCAATACTTGCACACTCATATACGCGAGCCCTCATCTAATAAGCACAGTACATACACACGGATCTCCACCATGGGTAATCGTGGAATGGAGGACCTGATCCAGGTCGTGAACGGTCTCCAAGATTCGTTCGCGGCCCTTGGCCGTGATGTGCCTATTGATCTGCCGCAAATAGCTGTAGTGGGTGGACAGAGTGCGGGAAAGAGTTCAGTGCTGGAAAATTTCGTTGGAAAGTATGTGTAAACATATCTGCGTATATTTGCATCAATACTTTCGCGTATCTCAACCAGGTAATAGTCTGAATATAACTACATATATATC